CGTGAACAAGATGTATGGACTCTATGTAGATAATATGTTGGTGAAGATTATGGCCGCGACAGACCATTTGGCACACCCCCCAGGAGACCTTTGATGTACTGAGAGTCTACAAGATGAAGCTGAATCCTAAAAAATGCGCCTTTGTTATTAGTTCAGAAAAATTCTTAGGCTTTATAGTCAACAAAAAGGGCATTGAAGCCAACCTATAAAACATCAAAGATATCTTGGAGACGAAGTCTCCAGCCTCGGCGAAAGAGGTCCAAGAGATTCAACACCTTAATGAGAGGATAACAGCCCTCAACAGGTTTGTCTCAAAGTCAGTAGACAAGTGTCTGCCATTTTTTAAAATCCTGTGCAAGTCTTTCTAGTGGGGACTAGAGACAGAGGAAGACTTCTAGAAGCTAAAGGCCTACCTCATCACACCACCATTGCTCTCCCATGCAGTACTGGGAAAGACCTTATACCTCTATCTCTCCTCTTTGTCCTATGTCGTGAGCTCCGTCCTTGTTAAGGAGAATGGAGGCATCTAGAAGCCTGTGTATTATATAAGCACGGTATACCGAGGGGAAGAGGTAAGGTACAAGGAACTTGAAAAGTTAGCTCTCACACTTGTCATTGCCACCAGACGTCTATGCCATTACTTTCAGAGCCATACCATTGTGTTTGTTACAAATCAACCACTCAAGAGAATTCTGGGAAAGCTTGATGTGTCCAGCCGACTGCTCAAGTGGGCCGTCGAGTTAAGTGAGTTCGATGTGCAGTACCAGCTGAGGATAGCTATCAAAGCACAAGCACTTACAGACTTCGGGGCCGAGTCTACACTAGCATAGGAGTTCCGGGAGTCTACACCACCACAAGAGTCCCCAGAGAAAGTACCACGCGCCCCTACGCTTACCTGTTTAGTGCATAATGTCTCCACCCACCATGAGGCAAGCCTAGACATAATTCTAAGAGGACCCAATGTCTCATAGACAGCTCCACAGGCCTCGGGAGACCACACTCCAAGATCAGAGGTGCCCGACTCCCTTGTGCCTACTCCACCAAAGCCCTCCGCACCCTCGCTACCATCTACTGTACCATGTTGAAGACTATACGTGAATGGGCCCTCCACTAGTGAGGGCAGCGACACAAGACTAGTGTTGGTCAGCCCCCATGACACTTCACTCAAGTACGCTATCTCCCTCCACTTTGTAGTATTGAACAACCAAGCTAAATATAAGGCCCTCATATCATGCTTGAAGTTCACATTGGAGATGGTGACATTCTGCCTAACAGCCTGCAATGACTCACAACTGATAGTCAACCAGGTAAAGGGAGACTTTGAAGCAAAGGAGAAACAGATGCAAGAGTACCTATCAATGGTCCAGGTATTGTTATAAAGGTTTACTTACTTCCAAACCCACCATGTGCTCCGAGAAGAGAATGCCATGGTAGTCACGCTGGCAAAATTTGCGTCTGCCAACATACTCATGGGTCCAACACTGACATGCCACCAGTTCGAGCCAAGCATTTTAAAGGCAGAAGAGGACGATTTAATTGTACATCGATCCAAGCTTACCTAGAGGATGACGCTCTCTTGGACAACCTAGTGGAAGCCAAAAAGTTGAGGATGAGAGCATCTAGGTATGTCATCTTACGCGACACACTCTACAAAAAGAGTTAATCATTGTCATTTCTCCGTTGTCTTGCCCCCAAGGAAGCCAATTATGCCATGAGGAAAATTCATGAAAAATCACTTGGGAGGGCATGCATTAACCCACAAAGCAGTAAGGCAAGGCTATTACTAGCCTAGCATGATCAGAGACGCCCGAGAATTCGTCAGGAAGTGCCATAACTGTCAATGATTGGCCACTGTACCCAGACAGCCACCTAAAGAGCTCACCATTATTCAGAGCCCGTGGTCCTTTTCTATGTGGGGGATCGACATCCTAAGGTCATCTACTCATGAGTCGGGGCCCGTGCAAGTTCGTAGTGATAGTCATTGACTACTTTACTAAACGGGCAGAAGTTAAGGCCTTGACTAGGATAACAGACCAGAAGGTGAAAAACTTCATCTGGAGGAGCATAGTATGTCACTTCGGAATACCTCATGCAATTTTAAGCGATAATGGCAAATAGTTTGATAATAAACTCCTTAACAACTTATGCGCCGACCTACAGATCAAGCAGCCTACTCCAGCCTGACCCATCCATAAGCGAACGAATAGGTGGAGGTCACCGTTAGAACCATCCTCCGTAATTTGAAAACCAGATTGGAGAGTGCAACAGGATGATGGATAGACGAACTCCTGGGAATGTTGTGGCTTACTGGACGACACCGAGAAGCCCTACGGGTGAGACCCCCTTTTCCCTAGCCTATGGGACAGAGGCGGCCATACCCGTTGAGATTGTGGTATACTCCCTTAGGGTCCAGCACCATGAACCTACCACCAATGAAGAAGGCCTCCGAATCAACCTCGACTTGATAGATGATCAGAGGGAGATAATCATACTCAGGAATGCAAAGTACAAGCATTGCATGACCATGTACTACAACTCAAGGGTGAAGCCTCGCTCCTTACCTGGGGACCTAGTCCTCAAAAAGGTCATCTTGTCTACCAAAGACTCCCAGGAAGGGAAGCTACGACCGATCTGGGAAGGACCTTGCACGGTCATGGAAGTTGTAAGATCGTGCACCTACAGAATTCTAAGAGGAAAGTTCTGGCCCATCCATGGAACGTAGAGCACCTAAATAAATATTACCAGTAGTTGGGGGCAAGACAGTGGGTGTACAAGTCAGTAGTCACTATTTAAATTATCTATTGTTGTTTTGGTCAATTTTCATTGTTGTTTACTTCAGATTATGAAATAAAATATCACAAGACTTTTTCAAAAGTTGTATTTCATTTCATAGAAGTGCATAAACTATTTACAAAAGATAGAACATGCCTAGCAACAAAAACACATAGACAAAAATACCATACTACAGACGTCACTCGCTGCTCCCTAATCTGTTCCAATCAAAGCTCTCCTTCTCATCATCAACTACTAGAGCCTTATAGGGGACGAAGCCAGAAAAATCATAAGTAAGAAAAGTTGTTGAGACCTTCCCCTTGAGCTCCTCATAGCCATCAATAAAGGCGCCTGCCACGGCCCTCTCAACAACATCCCTGTTCTTCTCTATCTCCATGGAGTACGCCTCTACTCTAGTGGTCCTGTCACGGGACACTCGCAACTCTGTCTTTGCTCTCGCACAAATAGCCTCTCTATCAGCCTCCAGCTAGGCGACCCTCTCACGGGATGCCAGAAGTTCAGTCTCAAGTGTGGTAGCTCTCTCTTGTGCTAGCCTCGATTGTTCCTCAACAACCTCTCGCTCCTGCCTCTCGAGCCCCAACTACTCCTCAACAGTTCTCTATGCCTGCCTCTTCGTCGCCTGACTACTGAGTGCCTTTCTAACCTTCATCGTGCTTGAGAATAAGCAAGGAAAAACATCAACAACCTACAAATAAGTAGGACATAAGGGAAAGAAGTGGGTACAAAATCAAAGATGAGTAAAAGGCATACCAAAGCAAAGTCATCCATCGTTGTGTTGATCATGCCCTCTGGACCTCGAGAACCAATCTCCTGGATCTCCATGGTGGTTATAAACCCCCACAATCACTCCTTGGCTAAATTCACATCCTGTAGCATGGACACCAAACCACTACTAGAAGTAGGACAGCTAGGCGTAGCCTCGGTCCTCATAGGAGACCGCATTGGAGCCTCAATCCCTATAGCCATACTAGGATGAGCTCTAGAAGGTGAAGGGATCATAGCAAGGGAAGGAGCAGGGGCATCACCAAGTCCCACTTCCCAGGAACCGATCATAACTTGCAAACTTGGTGTGAGACAAAAAGCTTACAATGTCGTAACCGTCAAAAATTTATTAGAAGGATTAGATACCTTTCTCCTTCGGTCTATGAGAGACCTTGGAATGACCTAACGTGGATATAATCTCTAAGAATTCCTTAAAAGGATGGTTACGCACTATCTGGAGTCTACTCTCTTGCTTAGCAGATAATGTGGGTGAAACTACATAGAAACCAATCACACAATGAGAACAAATATGTGACGACTAGAAGTAAAAACGAAAGTGAAATTCTCACCTAGGTTGGTCCTCGGGACGATGTCCCACTGTGAAGGCACAAGGTCACGGTTACGCTCGGTGGCCCACTTACCTCCAACGAAAAAGAACTTATACTTCTAGCTATGACAATTCGAAGGAAGCCCTCTGATGAGTTTGCTCGACCTCAGAGCAAAACAACCCCACCCTTGATGAGGAAAGCAATTGTCTAGAAGCACGTATGTGGCCAAAAATTCCTCGAATTGGGGATGAACATGAGCACTGTGAACTAGATTCCACAATGAGAAAAACTCTAGGATTAATCTCCACCCATTGGGAGCCAACCTCCCAAGGAGCCAATGATAGGTGTCCTAGAATCTGACAGATGGGCCTAAGTATTGGGAACCTTAACCCTACCTCTCAAGCATCCCCATAAAGGACTATCTCACCTGAAGAGTCATAGCATGCTAGTTCATCCTCCTTCGCTCGACGACACATTATAGCAAGAGAGATACGGTATGAAGAGACAATACATGTGACATCGTCATTGTGGTCAATGGAGCTAAATATGGAAGTTACATTTGAGTTGTTATCTCTAGCAGTCCCTTTGCTTCGCTAGATGTCTCGAGTAGCTGATGATGTGCTAGTCAGAATGGGCCCCCACCAAAGCCAAAATCAAGTCAATACCAAGGAAATACCTAAGCCAAGGAAGGAATAAATATGGGCGCTATATAACATACCTCTTGAGCCTTGTTTGTCCAAGTCACTGACTGGCCGCTTCCCTGCGATACCCAAGCGCCTAAAGATGCCATTGAACTTACCCGCACACTTCTTGATGTTGCCCGGCAAGCCTGAGCCTCCACCGGCGTTGTCCAGCCCACCAGTGTCGCTTGGCCTCCTTGCGCCCAGCCCGGCATCGTCATCTCTCCTTTCCCTCTTGCCGATCTTCACCTAGGAGACCCTCATCTCCATCACTGCTGCCCTTTAGAGCCTTGTTCCTCATCTGGCAAATGACACCTGAACCAAGGATGCAAGAACTGTCACCCAGCTGATACCCACCTCCACCACTTGCGTCGCCGCCTCTACCATTGGTGCTACCTCCACCACGAGCGCCTCCACCTCCAGCGCCACCTAAAGCCCTCTAGAGCTCGAGCACTAGACCCCTAACGACATCGCCTCCTGCGTTACTGCCCGACATAGTCCATGGCTTCGTCAAGGCATCGCCTAGGGCTTCGCTTGGCATCGCCTATGGCTTCGCCAAGGCCAATCCATGGGCTTCTTCTAGATCCATTGATTTAGTTGCCTCCTACATTGTGGAACCGCTATTGGAACCCCCCCTCTCCAAGCTCTTGCACTTTAGGCTCTCTCAATATCTTTTGGGGAAAAAGGGTTTTGGTAGTCCTGCTTCAAGAAAAGAAAAAATGGATTAAAAGAGTACGAGGTTTTCTTGAAAAGCAAGGAGTTTCTTCAAGATTGATGGAGAACCCAGCGAAAGAAATGCAATCGAATGCAAAAAATGCCCAATGTTGATTAAAAGTAAGTTTTCGGAGTCTCTAAAGACGGGAAGGCCGCCGTGGGGAACAAAAAAACTTATGCTCGCCCAAGTGAAGAAGACACTCATGCCCTCAACCCCCTTCTCTCGCAAGCAATCAGGAATTGGGGTATGGTAGGCAAATGACGAACCGAAATCTAACTGGGCCAAGCCCAATAAATCAAGTAAGCCCCAATCAGCTAAAAGGCAGGTCAAGCTCAGTATATGAATTCGACTCAGCCCAAGATCCAAGAAGTCCATGAAGGTTAAAGCACGTGAGGAGCGATCATTGAAATATTCACTCTCGAAGATCAAGACAACCTTTAATTGCACTTACCTTTTTGTAGCTACCCGGAGAATTAGTAAATTTACCCTCATGTCACCGCCTCAACCAAAACTTTTCGTCTATAAATTGTAAGCTCTCTCTACATGAGAGAGACCTCATCATCTCTACACCTCTTTACACACCCTCACATAGCTTTTCTCCCTCCTAGCTATTGTATCCCTCCCAGAGCTAATCATTGTTCTCTCTCTCTCCTGTTCACCTTACTTTATTAATAAAGGTTCTCTGGCCACCGTTGTCGTTTCCTAGTATGGAGTAGGTCACCCGGACCGAACCACTATATATCTGTGTGTTGAATCAATATTTACTTTTTTGCCACTTGTTGCTTTATTAATTGCCTCATTAATTTCTTATATCATTCACTCGACTATTAATTTTGCATAAATATATTTTGTGCATCATCAGTTACAGTTGAAAATTTGGTATAAAATTTTAGTCTCCTTAAATTTGGGTCTAAAATAAGTTTTTTCTTCATTTGGTATAGATTTGAGTCCAAGGTTGAAGAAAGTTTTAGATCATGTAGATTCAAATTTAAATTTGCCTCTAAATTTGAGTCAGAGTTAAAGATACTGTTATTTATTAAATGATTCTTGTAATCAAGACTTCAATTGTTATCATTCTAAATGTCTCACATTAGTCAAGTATAAGCCTGAATAATATACTCCGGCTTATACTTGACTAATTAACGTGAGTTTACAAATGTGAGCGGACTATGGCCCCACAGCTTAATCATTCCCCAATGTAGGAAAGGCAGCTTTTATTGATCCAACATTTAGGAGGTAGGTACGTACAAATGGCATGTTCGGTATGTAGAAAACAAAGACTAAAATATTATTTCAAAACCACCGAAAAGTGTTTATTTCTACGGAGAAAAAAATAAATCAAGACCGGAATCAAAAGTTTAATACTTTGAAGTGTTTTGAAATATTTCGGCATATATTTACCAATGATTTGAAGTGTTTTAAGAAGTTTATGTATATTTTGACTTATGTTTAGTTTATTTTCCAAATTTTTTATTTATTTTCATTCTATTTTTGAAATATTTTCTAAAATAATTTCTTTTTCTAGGTAACTGAACCGATGTATCGAAAAATATGACAATATCTCACTTCGTCTCCCTTTTCTAAGTTTTTGATATTGTACCCTTAATTATTTAAAATAGTATTGCATTATTCAAAAATCAAATTTATGTTGCAATAATGCAAATAGAAAATTTTCACATATCACTAGAATTTTTGGATAATGCGAAACCAATCAGTATAAAGTTGAGACGTAATGTGAAATTATTACTTTTGAATATATGACAATCATTTGTAATATTTGGGAAATGTGAACCATAATTGAATGTGAAATGAAAAAACAGATTTGCAGTGACGGGACAAAGTGAGATAAAGCATCGTTTTTTTTTTTTTTTTTTTGTAGGGGGGGTGAAAATACCAAAAAAACATTGGTGGCTTTCTCACATAGTTGGGATCTCTCTTGATTCATTGATATCGTACGGCGGATCAAAGATGCATCTACAAAAAATTTTCACATCAACATAATATGAAGTTTATGGTATAAGGGCTTCCATTTCAATTGAAATGGCAAAATCATTCTTTATTTTCCATGATCATGTTGCTTTTGCGATCAAATACATACAATAACCTGCATTCAGTGCATTGTGACGACGTAGTAAAGCTGCTAAACACGTTTCTAAAAGGGGTATAGTAACTTTTACGCAAACAACCGAAAAGATAGAGAACCCCGCTCAAGATTCAAGTAATTATAAAGTAGAGCTTACTAAGTATACAGTTTAGTTTTTACTGACCATACTCAAGGTTTTTCTATTATTCATTTCTCCTCCAGCATTGTACCATTTCTAAAAAGGGTTTAGAATATTACTGTGCATGATTAGACCATTTAATAAGAACAAGTGTCATGGGGCATATGATAAAAGTGAGAGGAGAAAATTTTGAGAAGGCAAAGTGCCTTTAGCTGAGCCAAAGATGATCCAATCGAGCAGACATCAGTGTCAACTAAATAGAATTGGAATCACCCTCACCAAATGGTTTGGTTTGCTAAGCACCCAAGCAGTTGGTGAGAACTGAACAAGTACATGGGAGAGACTCCAAATGAATCTGTACCTAAGTGGAACTGTAGTTCCGCAATTCAATAGATAAAGACTAGGTCCACTAGAGTAAAGAATTGCTTAGCGATCGCTAATGACTACATTATAAATATGTGACCTAGAAAGATTCAATCACAAATTTGGGATGATTTGCCTTAAAATCAAGTGTGACACTCTATTCCAGTAGGATTCTAAATCCTTACAAGTCAATATATGCTCCTATGTATATCGAATAAACTTAAGTAAAAGGTTTTCACTTTTTTCTCTACTAATTTCTTGCTTAACTTCAGAGTATTTGCTAACTTAGGTATCGGAATCTCTCTGGCCGGTACAACTCAGGTTTGTGGCAATTTGTTCCTCTTGCAGGGGGGAAAGGTGCACCTAATTTACTTAACTTGCCATTCGATTCCAAGAACAATCACTGTCATTTTTTTTTTTTGGGGGAGGGAGAAAGGAGAAGGGGGTTGGAACCCTTGACTTTGAGAAGGTAAAACCTTCACAAAGTAAAGAGTATTATTGGACCAAAACCTCATTGATAATCACTGTCATTTTCACCATAGAAAAGATATGAAAATTTTCTTCTTACAATTGACATCGTCTATGGAAAATTGAGAGACGACTAGCAATGTTAAATTCGAAAAGTACATTCGGATCATATTGCAACAATTAGCAGTCGAATGAGTACAATCCTGAGTGTAACTGCCAAGTGTCAATGCCTCAGATAGTAACGCAAAGGATAGCGTCGCCAGAAGTTCTAACAAAAAATATAAAACCAAAAAAATACATCCCAACAGCGGTACGAGCCAAGGGAGGATATTGCTTGGATCGACAAGGATGTTTCAGCTCTTATGGAGCTAATTAGGTCTTGGAAGACTGATTTTATGCTTGGCATGCTATGATACGAAGATCAGAGGAAGAGGAAGAAAGGCTAAGGCAAAAGGTTGAGGAGCTAAGAGAAGTGCTAAGGAGTTCGGAGGACTACGAGATACCTGGAGGGTCTGACTATGAAGGGATTAGCGCTAGATAACCTCATCATGTCGAGCATCAACAAAGCCCTGTCGATCGCAGGCACAAGAGGAGAAACTACACTCGCGAGACACATGCGAGAAAAAAATTCACTCAAGTAGAGAACTAGGAGGACAACAGAGATGTTTCACAACTAAAGAGGTCGATAGTTGGTTGAAACGGCCCTAAGCAGCAAACCGCCTAGGAAATTGTAAGGAAAGGCATTTGAGAATATTTTGGGGGAGTGGAGGTATCACCCTTCCCCTCCAGATTGATTAAGAGAGGATATCGAAGAAGTTCATGATGTTGAACTTCAAGCTCTATGACAGCAAGATGGGCCGACATCTACGCCACTACTAATAGCTCATGGTGGTACACCAAACGGAAAAGGATTTGATGTGTACCATGATTGCAAGTAGCTTAGGGGAGTCGGCTACGAAGTGGTTCTATGAGCGCCCATGTACTTATTATAATGTATATTACATTATCATGTATTGCATGTATAAGAATGAATTCAAAATAGGTAATAAGGTGTCTTAGAAATATTAAAGTGTTTTGAATCTTAGATGCATTTTGAGAGAAGTACAGTAGAAAGCAATTAGATACTACCTTAGTATGTTAATCTTACTTTTTATTCTGATCCAATGGATATGATTTTTGGGCATTAATAACTATACTTCAAGAGTTACAAAAATGTATGAAATACAAATTTCGTGAATTGACTTCTAATTAGGCCAAAACTAATGTGGATGTTTCAAAAAAAAAAAAAACAATTTGTTTACACTCTTTTTGATACTATGATTTGTTCTTAGAAGACATACGTGTTTTACATCAAAAATTGAATGTTCTTGATAAAAACCCTAGATTTTTGTTATTGTCAACTTGAATAATTTCTTTTATGATCTCTTGTATGTTTTGATAAATTATTCTTGTGTTTTGAGAATTATGGGATTTTGAACGCTCGTATGAAAGTATATCTCTTGTGATGGGATTAATGAACTAGGGTTACATGCGAATCGATATCACAGAGAGTTGCCTTAAGGGGTTCAAAGGCTTCCTATCACTCGCAGTGGGGTTGATGTCTTACGATGACCAAATCACTATTCGTTCTACAAAGGACCGAGGTTGAGGGTTGGTATCCCATAATTCTAGGAAGGATTCGCCACTACTGATGCTTCAGTATACGCCCTTCCTAATTTTTGTTACCCTCTGGATG